GTGGGTGCGGGTGTGGGTGTGGGTGGGTGGGTGTGGGTGTGGGTCTGTGTGGGTGGTGTGTGGGTGTGGGGTGTGTGGATGTGGGTGGGTGTGTGTGGGTGTGGATGTGGGTGGGTGTGGGTGTGTGGGTGTGTAGGTGTGGGTGTGTGGGTGTGGATGTGGGTGTGGGTGGGTGTGGGGTGTGGGTGTGTGGTGTGGGTGTGAGTGTGGGTGTGGGTGTGGATGGGGTGTGGGTGAAGAGTAGAGACACACCCACACATACACCCACACCCAGGGGCGGCGAAACGTTTTGAAATTGGGTGAGGCTCAATGGAAGTTTATTTGCTATCCTAAAATGACATATCACATATCAGCATGAGGTAATCTGAGCGAATGTTAGCGTCAACAGATGACACTATGTCGACGCTAACTTAATTGAACGAAGTTCAATTGGTACCTTCTTCATATTTTCTCATTTGTTAGTCTCCCTTTTCGTTCTGTAGCTAATTGGATTTTTCTCTTTCGTTCGTTCAATAATAAGATTTTTCTTTTTCGTTCTGTCTATCTCTCTCTTTAGCATTTTCTCAGATTTTGATATAGTTCAGTTGTTATTTTGTTTTGGTGAAGAGCAGTAGCATTCACTACCACTTCACTTTTGTGTGATTTTCGCCTTCATGAAATAAATCGTTCACTTGAAGTGACCTCACATCCCCTCCTCAACTGATCACGTTTGTTCCTGAACATAAGGTAAGACCCCCTATACCCTATTATTACATCACCCATGAACTGTTGACCTAACAGCGAGTTTCAGATGATAAATCATTTCAGAATATTTAATTGTTTTGCTGTCAGAAAGTTAGTGTGCTAACTTATTCTGTTCTTTACTGGTAGAGTTTCTAAATCTTTATAGAAGGATGAAAATTCCAAAAAATACAAGAACTATGTATTTCATATTAAAACATTAAACAAAAAAAAGCTTGTCTTTTTTGTTTGACGATATAAATATGGACACTATTTAATGGATTAATAAGAGGCATAGTTTGAGGTACAGAAGATGCTTCACGAGCTTCGTCTCGAGAAGTTGTTGCAAGATCAGTTAAATCAGTTAAAGCAATTTCTTCTATACACACAGATGTTGTTGCACCTTTTAGTTTTTTAGTAAAATATTCCAAAATCAATCTGTACATCGTTTTCATACCCCTACTGTTTATAATCTAAATTATTGATTTTATGGCTATGATCAAAAGAAAATACTGTTTACCGGTTTGATTTTCATGTAAACATGAAATTACACTTTCCTTAGCAAGACTAAGATAATAATCTTCTAACGCACTAGTTAAATGATAATGCCAAGGCATTCAAAAATAAGAGAGCTACACATTCAGATAAGTATGCAAATAAACTCGTTTGACACTGTATTTTAGTTGGTATATTTGCTGACATTTTTAACAATTACTGTGGATATATTTCACTGAATACGTTAAAGAGAATGACAGGACACTCAAATATAGCTAGTTTTGATGTCTTTTGATCGCATAATTCTACAGTTGGCCTAGTATACATATCACTTTATGTAAATGAGATAGAAGGTATCGCTGTAAACCATAAGAACGTAGTTAGTGAGTTTATTATTGTCTGAATTTCTTAGTTTTCTTTATCACAACATATAAATAAACGTATTAGACGTTCTATTCTTCGAACTGAAATAATATTCAACTGATAAGATAAATCTAAACCATTGTGCAAAAAAATACCGAAAACATAATTTGGGTGAGGCTGAGCCTCCAGACGCCAAATTCGGGTGAGGCTCATGCCTCACCCAGCCTCCAGCTTCCGCCGCCTATGCCCACACCCACACATACACCCTCACCCACACCCTATATTCAATATCAGTTGCATTTAACTATCAGAAACAAAGAAAAATTTCAATAAAATGAATTCATTTGAATTCAATCGATCATAAAATGGATTGTCTATTTGATAAAAATAAGCTAATACCTTTCCTCCACTTAATTCTTTATTAAATATTAAAACCAAAATAAATCATTGCAATTAAAATACTAAGAAGACTTTCTCGAGATTTATTTCAAAACCTGTTTTTTTTTTATTTAATTATAACCAAAGATTAAAGAACTGGACAACGACGACATTCAGCTGAACCACATTTTCAATCCGTTTGGCGGCCAGCTATTTCACCTACTGTATAATTATGATCCCAACTAAAAATCAATGAGCAAAAAAATCAATCCATGGAAAATATATATTATGCATCTAATTAATAAAGAAGACAACAATGGTAATATGTAACCAAAACTGATGCAAATCTGATCGATCTTTTCAAATAAAAAATTGCTTCGTTTTTCGATTTTTTTTTTGGTATGTTTTCAGAAGCAAGCCAATAATTCGATGTAAGAATTATTTATGTTCTTTTTCTCGAATTTCCATGAATAAGATGTAAATAATTTATTCTAATTAATTTTTCATTTAAAATACACGTACTAGTTGTCCCAGAAAAATCATCTCTTTTCCAAAGGCACAATGTTTGTAAATGATGCATAGGTTTACTAAGAAAAGACACCAGATATTAGCCAATACAAATCGATTTATTTGAGCCGGAATGACAACTGTTAAGACAAAATTTCACATGCCTAACAGTATTTAACGTGTTCTTTCTTAAGGCGTTCGATGCCTACAAGTACAACGAAAAAGTAGCCAAATCATTTTTAGTTATGAAGTTTAACTCATCGAAAAGAAAATAACAAATTTCGAATGTTGGGTGTGGATACGTGTCTTTTGTTTAGTCATATCTACACCCACACCCTCATGCAACTCGACAAGCTCTATTCAAAAATGATGAAAAAAAATCAGCCGAAATTTTTATTAGTGAGTACGTTACAATTCGAATATCTCCGTCCAGATATACCAACAATGGTCTATACTTTAAATTTGTTAGTTTGCAAGTGAAAGCTTTAATTTGATCCGAATATATATCTAATCTTATTAATTAACAAAAATCATGAAGTTGATTCTCTTGAAGAATAAAGTCGACATTGAAAGAATACAGTAACTCTTGTTTGTATAATAAGATTAGGAATTGAATTAACTTCTTCTCTTATTTGTCTCATGTTAAGATATTCTTTACTTTACCTAATAACTGACGATATTGATAGTTTTATATAATCTACTCGCAGCTCAGATACTTTCAATCTCGTATTCAATTTTGATTATATGATATTAATTTTCATTTCATTCAATTGTAAAAACAATCAAATAGGTATTTCAGGAGTCCAATATGTGACTAACACATTCTAAAATCAAATAATAAAATAAACTCATTGCTTCTCTGTCTATCTAATGTATTTATGTATAATACAAGAAGACAAATTTACGTCATTGAATCTGAAAAAAAAGATTAATTCGTTCTAAAAGAATATAATAAATCTCTCTAATGTGTTACAAACTAACTAGTATTAACGAGACAGTAATACTCTTCATCAATGACAAATCTTTCTTGATAACTAAATTTTGATATTTAACTACCATACTAAATTTTAGAACTGATCAAATCAGTTTTCAAAAAGTAAAATTTATAGTTAATAATTATTTTAGTCTGTACAGATATTGACATTTTTGAACAAGAAAATCAGCACTAAAGCAGCGCAATCTATATTTAGTGTATTAGAAACTACTAATAGAAGAATTCAACTTCTTAGTTCATTGATATCATATTAATAGTGATCATTCAATATATATATCACTGACTACATTCAGTCTTAAATGAACAAAATTGATACTTAAAAGAATACTATATTTGACTAATTCTGTAAATAAATCCATTCAGATAATTTCTTAGCATATCGAATTTATATATCACTATATTATGCATTACATAATATCATCATAATAGATCTTCGAAATAACAAAATTGATGCTCATGAAACGTAATATTTATTTCATGCATGATAAAATAACACAGTAAAAAAAAGTATCTCTTAATTTTTCTCATATTGAGATCTTATTCATTTAATATGGACACATACAAAATTACATCATACTAATACATTCGAAAAATACAAAGAAAAAAGAGATAATCTTAACAGTTGGAGGAGCAACACAAATAATATAATAATTCTTTTATTATATTTCATTTCATAATTTCTGTCTGGGAAAATGTCAAGTGAAGAAAACAACAGACAAAACAAATTAAAACACACACATATAGAAGTTATTTAGTTTATTTCCTTTCTTACGAAAAAGAAAAAAGTCAACAATCATAATCGATTGAATTCTTTTGTTTTTGTTTTTTACTACCTACTTTTAATATATTCTTCAATATCATCATCATCAAATTTTAACGTATCAAATGTTGTCGATGGTCGACTATCATGATATAAAGGGTGTGGGTGTGGTTGAAAACGAGATCTACACCCACACCCACACCCTTATATATCAGAAGAAACTCAGAATATACCAGAATTCACTCAGGAATGTTAGACGGCTTGAAAATACGAAATCAATTTCATGTATGCAATGACAAATTACATGTATATTGATATTCTAAATAAATCAACTGTACTATTTTGTATATCAAGTGTTTAAGCCAACAATATACGCATGTTCCCAAGAAAATCCATAGAAAAGGATTCGAATGACCTTGATCAGAGACCCAAAGACGTCACTTAATAATGAGAAAGTTTAGTAATTTCACTTGTACGTCGCCGTTTTCAAACAGGTAACACCTTATATAGACTATTTTGATGGAGTCTTACGATCGAAAAGAAGGTTACATCGAATGGACAGTGGCGCGCGAGTTCCGAATGATACAGTATACCGAAAATTACTCGATGAGAGTTAGTGTTGGTTATTCTACTTGTTTTGTGTCTATTTTTTGCAAATAAAAATAACCAAGTGCTTCTAATAACTTAATTTCATTCGAATTCTAATGCAATTTTGAATTTTATGTATAAAAGGTCTTCTATGGAGATTTGTTTAGATGAGAAAAAGACGAAGACCAAAGTTAGAGATCTTAACTCTGAATGAATCTATAAGTCAGCTCTTATATCAGCATCACTTTTCTAAGATCTGCAACAATTATATTCGTGATCAGCGTGGTTGATTCAATATTTCTACCTACTTTTGAAAGATTTATAAAAAAAATTTTTTTTTTTGAAGTCTCCTAGGAGAATACGGGAAAAAGAAAATCAGAGATTATTTTAAATGAAAATGCCTTATCTAGCTTTGTTCTTTGTCTAAACCTTTTTAGACACGTAGAGATAATTCTTGAAAATATTTTGAGACGAAAAATTAACCTTAACGTCATTTATTCTTTGAAAAAAAATTGATTTTTTTTTTTGAAAATTTTCCATTTTTTTATCATTGAGTGCATGAATACTGACACTATAAATATAATTATAATTTTTGAAAAACTCTAGATGTATAGAGTTGGATAAGAGAAATATTTTCGTCAAAAAATCAATTGAAAATAATTTTTATTTGTTAACAAATTCGGTTTTAGAGATCCCAGCAATATTAGCTGGGTTTGCAAAATCATCCCACGTATTTACATTGTTTGCTAAATCACCCCATGCGGGTTGATTCTGCAGAGAAACTAGTAGGTCTCACTAAAATCACTGTGGAAACACTATCGTAAAAGATTTTTAGAAACCAAAAACACCATTGAATAGAAAAATATTTTCTCTACAAACTTTGTAGCAAAATTTTCTTTCTATCACTTAAAATAAAAAAGTTATAAGTATTAGAAGACAAAAATTCAATTTTTTCTGCCGATTCACTCCTTCTTACTCTAGTGTTTTTTTTTTTGTCTATTTATTTAATTAAGAATAAAATTTTTTCCTCGACGTTCATTGATTTTTTTTCTTTCTCTAACTTAAATCCCTCGATAATTGTTCAACGGTTACTATATACGTCTGTTCGAACGGACGAAAATATCATAGCCTATAAAAATTCTTCCATTTCTTATTCGAATTCATTATCATCTATACAAGTTCAAGTAAGTGCACAAACGTTAAGTAAATATATCTTATACTTTTTTTCTTAGTAAGAAACTATTAACTAATCTTATAATGGCTCGTCGCTCAAGTCAAAGAAGTCGTCGTAAATCAAGTAGTCAAAATAGGGCTACAACCGGTTGGCGAAAGTTTTTCATAGAAAAACGTGAAGAAGTTCAGGTAATTTGAAAAAAAAAAAAATTTATTTTTGATTGTGTTTTGGTTTTTAAGAAACAGAATCCTAATATGAATAGTCGAGAAATTATGAAAAAGTTGGGTGAAATGTGGCGTCAACGTGATGATGAAGTAAGTTAAAAATTCAATGGAATAACATTATTATCGTTTTTATATTATTTATTTAGACAAGAAATCAATATGAAAATCAGAATCAAAAGAAGCAATATCAAAAAAATCAATCCAAATCTGATGAAAAATCATTGGAAACTAAAGAAGATAAAAATAAAAAAGGTCAATCTTCGAGTCAAAAATACAGCCGCCAACAATCGAATAAAGAAAATCAGAACGATGAACTTAGTGAATAATTTCGATTATCTCTTTCATATTGAAATAATAATCTGGATGAAATTTGTTTTTTTTTTCTTTTATTTAAATTGTACAGTTTATTTTGTATTTATTATCGACTAGATTTTATAGACTTTTTTATTGATGCTTTTCATTATACGAATAAACAAGTAATACTTCGTCGATAAATGAAAGAGAGAAAAATTGTTTAAAATGCTCTTATGCATAAACACGACTTCATTTTTGTTTGATAATCCATTATAATGGCAGTATTGGATATTTTTTTGCTCAATAAACTATCGATAGAGAGAGA